CCCCAGTGCCTGTACAAGGTGCCCGTCCCCAGTGCCTGTACAAGGTGCCCGTCCCCAGTGCCTTTACAAGGTGCCCGTCCCCAGTGCCTTTACAAGGTGCCCGTCCCGAGGGCCTGTCCGTAGGTGCACGTCCCTGGTACCCATCCTGGGTCTGTCCCGGATGCCTAGCGATGAGGACTGGCACAACAGGCCTCGCCACCCAACAATTGTGGATATGAGTCTAAAGAGGGGACCATGTGGTAACCTTGACTCAAAATAGAAATATGCATCTGTACGAATGGTTACAAATAACTACAGTGATCCCCGCCTATCTCGGAAGTTACGTTCCAGACCCATCAGCGATAGGTGAAAATCCACAATATAGAAAGACCGTATAAATAAACATTTTTATAGTTTCAGCCTTAAAATGCCCCCCCCCACTCGCTTTGAATGCATGTAAACTTATTAAAACACACTTTGTAAACACATATGATATGTGGAAGTCGTGCTAAGGATATGAGTAACATAATAATAATAATAATATGTATGTGTATATATACATACACACACATCGCAGAGAACTGTGATGCATCGGGGAAAAGTCTGCGATATAACAGGGGCTGTATAGGGAAAAAATATCAGGTAAGCAGCTGAATGCAGGAGCTGACCTCTCGTCTGGCGAATTGATCTCGTCTCAGTGTTTCCGCAGGAATATGACATTTGTGGAAAGGCGGCGTGCCATGTAATATTAACGGCCCTGGGTCGACCTTGTCCTGCTCCTTCAGGTTCTGGAGGAAATAGGCAGCCTGGAGATGAGCATGGCGACACTGCGGGCGGCCATCGCGGACAAGCGGGCCCCGCTGAGTGTGGCCCAGGCCCGCCTGGAGGTGCGAGGCAGGAGACCCCATGTAGAGCTTTGTCAGGACGACGCCCAGGTGCAGCTCCGCACTGAGGTCCGGGAGCTCAGCAGCCATGTGCAGAGGTGGGCAGGAGCCAACTCTCTCCTGTCTCCTTCAGGGTCCTCTGAGTCATAACATATTATAATAATCATCATTAGGGCTCCAAGTGTCATTGCTGGGGGGCGCCACTAGAGATTCTACGCCCCATGGAAGCATTTCATACTGGGCCCCCGACTCAAATCCACGCAATTATGGTCCAGATTTTTAGGGCCCTTGGAATTGTCCTCCTTTACGGGGTCTCTGACTGGAGGTGTCGAATCCCTATTGTTTTTGTTCTGTTGTATTACTATCATTAAGCTTTTTGTGTACTAAGTCAAAATCTTCAGTTAAGCAATTGTAATTAAGCGGTTGCATGGAAGCATTTTATCCCATTTTAGCAGCAGTTTCTGTGCCCAGGATGAGCGAGACCCTGTCACTGTCGGAGGCAGAACTCCAGGCCCTGACGCGCAGGCAGCTGGACCTGGAGGAGGAGATCCAAGTCAAGGCTCACTCGCTGTACGTGGACGAAGTCGTCTGCACCCGCCTCTGGCAGTCTGTTGTCATCCACGCTTTCTGAGGTGGAGTCTGGGAGAGACAGACGGATGCAGTTCGTCTGCATGGGGACGGGGGCCTGTTCATCGGAAACAAGAAATACCTGAACGACACGAACTCGGGAAGACAGATCTATCATCTTGGGTTTTGTTTTTCTTGCGGGGTGTGAAGCTGACAAACAGTCATCGCATAACACGGCTCTGGTCACTGGTCATGTTTTGATAGTGTGTGACTGTGAAGACCCTGGTGGGGCTACTGTCTGTCCAGCTGGTCCTTGTGCTGCACATGTCCACACACATGCATACGGACACCACGCTCTTCTTTAACCCTAATTATCATTACTTTGATCAAACTGATGTTTCTAAATCTTAATAAATGAATGAATCTTTACCTAGTTTGAGTATTATTAGCCTCAGTAGGACAGTTTTTCCTCTGTCCTACCTTACAAAACTCTGAAGTAGCTTCTCTGGCGGCTGATGTCCATGCAGCTGCCTGTATTGTGATGTCAGCATTGGCAGGTACTCGCCCACTGATTGGCAGAAACGTCTCAGGTCCGCCAGGTACTCGCCCACTGATTGGCAGAAACGTCTCAGGTCCGCCAGGTACTCGCCCACTGATTGGCAGAAACGTCTCAGGTCCGACAGGTACTCGCCCACTGATTGGCAGAAACGTCTCAGGTCCGCCATTGCGGAGACAAACATCTGGGAAACAGCGAACCAAGGCAGGCCTCTCTCTCTCAATCCCCTGTCCCTCACTGGGCCAGCAGATAAGCTGTGAAACACTGCACAGGCTCTTCAGTGTGACCGGTTTTGTTCTGGACTGTGGACGTGTTTGCCTTCACTTAACATTACTGAGGCCGTGCCCGGTTTCATGAATGTGCTGAAGGGTAATGATCCCTAGCAGACCGGGCCCCCGTTCCCCGCCGAGAGGACCTGACCTTTGACCGCCCAGCATTCGTCACCTGTCACATGGCAGCTGGACATTTGGGTCTCCTCGTTTGTGCATATGAGCAACAACACCAGGGTTGAAGGCCACAGCTTGTGCAGTGTTGACTGTTTACAAGACGTTATGAAAACTCATAATAATAAATAGCTTCTTCTGCAATAGAGTAATTGATCATATGAGTACTTGGAAGACACATGCAATTCATTTAGGGCCTACAAACCTGACCAAGATAAGCAGCTGTGAGATGGATGGATGGGGTTAATGTAAGTAGGAGGTTTGGGCTGTAGTCAGATTATAATCCAAATGAGTGTCATGGCCGCCTGTGATGAACAGCTGGCAGAACTGGGTCGCTGATTGCTGGGAGATAAAAACAAATGTGATGGCATGTGACAGCGCAGGGACCCTGGGGGGTAACGACTGGAAGCTGAGGGTGTCACCGAGGCAGTGAGGTGAGGTCTGAGCGCAAATGCGACCCATGGACCTTATGAAGAGGGATCACTCACTGCTGCTTATGGGTCTTATGATCAAATGGCAGACTGGTACCTGGAAAGGTGACGCTTATCACAAACCTAAAGAGGTACAGGAGACTGAAAGGTATTTCTTGCAGCCAAACATCTGCCAAAAGGTAATTTGTAGTTTAGCCTATGAGAGGCAGCACAGAACACAAGGCTGGAGTAGAACTTTTATTATGACAGCACCCGGAGACAGGAAGGTCGCAATCTGCTTTGGTTTATTAGGAATTTATTAGAAATCTCTTCAACGACATTTTATGCACATATCAGAAGTGGCTTTTCACCATTCAAGCGTTTGATGAGTGTCTATAAATGGGTGACCCTGTAAGCAAAACCAGAAAGAGTTTTGTCAGGTGAAAATGTGGTAATGTCTGTGAGGCGGATCATTTAACGTAGGAGACTCACCACAGCACATCGTCCTCTGGATGGTTCTCCCAGTGTCAGTTGGCAACAGACTTTCTCAGGTTTTCAAATAAGCGACATTTGTACTTCAGTGAGGAGAAAAGCAGCAGTTATTAGTGACTCAGCTGACATAACAATCCAGCAGGTGACCGCTTTTAATTTCCCGTCATTAAAGGATAATCAGGCCACGTTCGCCTATGCTGAGGGGCGTGGCCAAAGGCTGGCCGGTGTCCGATGTACGCTGGCATACCTCATGCCGCTGCAGTGTGACCTGCGGCAGAGCCAAATGGCAGAGGGGGCATGTGCTGATCTCGCCCATGTCCTTCTCCTTTGACGTTTTGCGTCCTTGTAGGGAGAATGATGTGATCTGGTACAAGTCTGGGTCCTCAGCATCCTCAGTCTCACTAGGGGGTGACGATGCGAGGCATTCCAGCTGAGAGGAGTAGGACAAAGCAGAGGTGGTGTGCAACCAGACACTTAGCTTTCTTGGTTTCTTAGATACTAAGTCTTGAAGGTGTCTCTCTGCTGACCTGGTGTTTCTGCATCTGGGCCACAGAGACAGATTCCATGCACTTGAAACACCGCTGGAATTGGGACTCTGTAACCAAACCGCAAAAACACTTTTATCCATAAGATGTTTATCACTGGATTCATTTGCTCTTTATTTGGAATACTCATAGAACGTTTCACATCCCATATGAAAAATGCATATATAAGGTGGATCTCTGTCAGGTGTGTGAATAGCAGAGAGCCACAAATGGAAGAGCAGACTGACTTTGATTTGTCTTGGCGGCCCCTGCAGCATTCTGGCTGGTCACCTTCGATGGAGTGCCCCCTTGTGGCCTGGTGGAACAAGACGTCGAATGGGCATCCATGTCCTGCAGCTTGACGTAGCGGTTGCAGTCTGGGCACAGCTCTGTCCGGCTGCCACAGGCGCTGATGTGCTCTGCCAGGTTCCGGAAGGGCAACTGGAGCTGGCAGAACTGACAGCACTGCAATCTGTCCTCACATTCATTTTCCTGGGGGAATAAGAGAAAAGAAATTAGCTGGATTTGGAATCTGGGGGGAGGGAGAAAAAGGCAACGCAGGTAAATGTGCTGTGTATATGAGTCAGAGCTGCTTGTCGCCCCCGGCAGACGTGCCAATTATTGTACTCAGAAGCTTTCTGAGAAAAAACATTGACATTTTGAACCTGTTTTTGCTCAATTAGTGGCGACCAGGAAAAGCGCGGCTTAGTTTGGGAGGCGTTCTACGCCGGCCAAGGTGAACGTACCTGGTGATCCTGCAGACGGCAACGCTCCAGTTTTTTTTTGCACTGTGTGCACCTGACCTGTGGTAAACAGATCCCAAACACAGCTTAGAGCAGAAGCGTGGAGCATCTGAACATCTCCGTGGACCAGTTTGGGAGCCCTGCTCTCTCACTTAGTCGCACAGACGTGTTAGTTGGTGCAGTCTGGGTTAGTGGTGGGCAGTCTGGATTAGGGGTGGGCAGTCTGGGTTAGGGGTGGGCAGTCTGGGTTAGTGGTGGGCATCAAGGAGGTAATTAGCAGGCAGCACGGTGTCAAAGAGCAGAGCTCATAAATAACGTGGGGCAATTCTCTGCCTGTTAAGTGGAATTCCACCAGAATGTCACTGTCAGTCAGCCTCGTCA